GACCTAAAGGCAGAGAGAGACAGTCTGGTAAACGAGAGGGATTCCCTCAGAGCTGAACGGGATTCCCTGAAGACCGAACAGGATTCTCTTCATGATGAGGTTGACATCTTAAAAACTGAGAAGAGTGTAGCTCTGACAGAAAGGGACTCTCTCAAAGCCGAAAAGGGAGACCTTCAGCGCTCATTCATTGCTGAACGGTTATCACATGCAAATTCCCAAGAAAAACTTCTAAACGAACGGTCTTCCCTGATGAACATGATCGGCAGAGTTGAAGGGGGTATGAGAGCTCTCCTTGCTCACTTTACCAGGACCAGTGCCATCTGGTATGCTGAAGGGTACAGAGACGGTTTTGTTGACCGTTCTCCCCCGGAAGGTGAATCAAGTTCTTGCGCTGGTCCTGATGAACTAGATGCTTCTCTGGACATCCACCCCCCAAACAATTTTCAAAATCCACCATGCGACCCAGCTGAGAACATTTTTATTGAATGCATAGAGGTCACATCTTCAGGAATTGTCCCACCCTTTCATCCCCTGAACATTCTTCCTCTTTCTACCATCGTGCCCTCTTCCTCTGTTGCTGCGGACAGACCTATGCCTGCTGAGGGGGTGATTCATCTCGACTCCCCTTTTAAGGATGATGGGGCAGGTGAGAATGGAGAAGATCTCGATGGTCCAGAGGAAGATGGTGGCGAGAATGACAAGTCACAGCCTGGAGAAGATCGGAACTGACACCCAATAGCAATTTTTTTTTTTTTTTTTTAAATGTATGGTACTACGTACCTTGAGGCCTTTTTGGTTATGAATGATAATGTTTTTGCTCAGCATCACTTTCCTCCTTTGAGTTTTCTATTTTCAGCTTTGTAGTGTATTTTCACAAGTGCTTAACGTTCGGCCATGTCACCATTCTGTCCTTTTCTTACTCATTTGTGGGCAAGTGTTTGGCGTTCGGCTTGAAGTGCCAGCTGCCACTAACTTGCTGAATGCCTGGCGCTCGGCTTGAACGCCTCTTGCCACTTAGCTTTTTTTTTTTTTTAGTAAGTGTTTGGCATTCGGCTTGAAGTGCCAGCTGCCACTAACTTGCTGAATGCCTGGCGCTCGGCTTGAACGCCTCTTGCCATTTGGCTTTTTTATTTTTATTTTTGAGCAAGTGTTTGGCGTTCGGCTTGAAGTGCCAGCTACCACTAACTTGCTGAATGCCTAACGCTCGGCTTCAACGCCTCTTGCCACTTGGCTTTTTTTTATTTTTTTAGCAAGTGTTTGGCATTCGGCTTGAAGTGCCAGCTGCCACTAACTTGCTGAATGCCTGGCGCTCAGCTTCAACGCCTCTTACCACTTGGCTTTTTTTATTTTTTAGCAAGTGTTTGGCGCTTGGCTTGAAGTGCCAGCTGCCACTAACTTGCTGAATGCCTGGCGCTCGGCTTGAACGCCTCTTGCCACTTGGCTTTTTTTTATTTTTTAGCAAGTGTTTGGCGTTCAGCTTGAAGTGCCAGCTGCCACTAACTTGCTGAATGCCTGGCGCTTGACTTGAACACCTCTTGCCACTTGGCTTTTTTTTATTTTTGAGCAAGTGTTTGGCGTTTGGCTTGAAGTGCCAGCTGCCTCTAACTCGCTGAACGGGAAGAGTGTAAATTTTTAACAAAGAAGAGACTTTTTATAAAGCATGGAAATTTCGTACACTTGCAAGGATGCAATTTAGAATGTACAATATACTTAAAATTAAACTCTACTTTTACTGGTAGGACCTTTTTAGAGACGTAGCATTCCATGGCTTATTGACTACCCTTCCTGTCATAGTTTCTAGGACGTATGCCCCCTTCCCTATGACTTCTGCTATTCTGTACAGACCTTCCCATGGGGAGAACATCTTTTTGATTATTCCCACCTTCCTTTTCAAAACCAGATTGCCAAGAGCGAAACCCCTGTGCCTCACCTTCTTGTTATGGCTATTCACAAGCGTCTGTTGATAAGAGGCGAGCCTCACTACAGCCGCATCCCTTTTTTCTTCCAACAAATCAAGATTGAACCTCAGCATTCTATCATTCTGCTCTTGATCCCACACCAAGCTCCTTACAGTTGGAACCAAATACTCGACTGGTATCACCGCCTCAGTGCCATAGGCCATAGCGAATAGGCTCTCTCCAGTTGGCCATCTTGGGGTTGTTCTGTAAGCCCACAAGACATTCGGTAGCTCATCTAACCATTTGCCTTTTTCATTCTCTAGATTTTTCTTGATACAAGCAAATATTGTCCTGTTTGTGATTTCGGCTTGACCATTAGCCTGAGGATGACTAACTGCTGCTAACTTCTGATTGATTCCATATTCCTCCAGCAACTCTCTCACTTGCTTGCTATCGAGGTTGGTTCCATTGTCTATCACGATTGACCTTGGTATGCCAAAACGACAGATAATATTATTCCAGATGAAGCGTCTTACTTGAGTTTGGGTGACATTAGGGTACGGCTCTGCTTCTACCCATTTGGTGTAGTAATCAGTAGCTAGCAGAACGTACTTATTCTGCGATCTTGCAGTCGGCAAAGGGCCAACCACGTCCATCCCCCACTGCGCGAAAGGCCATGGGGTGGCCATTACTTGCAGGTCTTCAGGTGGTTGATGTATCAATGACCCAAACCTCTGGCATTTATCGCATCTTCTAGAGAATTCTTCTGCATCTCGTGCCATGTTTGGCCAGAAGTACCCCTGTGTCAATGCTTTGTGTGCTAAAGATCTTCCTCCGGAGTGATTTCCGCATACTCCTTCATGAATGGTTCACATAATCTGTCTAGCTTCTGCAGGGGTAGCACACTTCAAATATGGACCCGAGAAGGAGCGTCTATATAACTGATCGTGCACAATGGCATACTTTACTGCACTGGACCTAAGTCTTCTTGCCTAGTCCTTACGCTCGGGGAGTGTACCATTACGTATGTAAGCCATGATTGGATCAATCCAGCTCGGCTCTTATGGTATAACATTAACATGTTAAGTGCTCGGATTAGGCAGTTCTTTAAAAATGGAAGGTTGGAGCAGTATGTCGACTGGGATGACCCTAGCTAAAGTATCTCTAAAACTGGATGCACTACAAGCCAAGCGGTCGGCATCTTCGTTATACTCTCTCAGCAATTGGATAAACCTGATCTGATCAAAGGCTTTCGCCTCACGCAGAACCGCAGTTCAGTATGCTTCCATGGTCTCATCCTTGGCCCCATAGTCCCCATTAACTTGTCAAATGACTAGTTGTGAATCACTATAAGCCATCAGATTCTTGATCTTTAATTCTTTAGCCAACTTCAGCCCAGCTATCAATGCCTCGTATTCTGCCTCATTGTTGGTTACGTTGAACTCTAGTCTTATCGCTTGGCTCAGCGTAGTTTCTTCTGGTGTTTGCAATTGAATTCCAATCTCGGCCCCCATTTGATTCGAGGAGCCGTCCATGAAAAGCTTCCACCAGGAACATTTACAATCCTCCACCATATTTTCAGCATCACAGTCAAGTAGGAAATCCACCACCGTTTGACTTTTGATTGCCGTCCTGGGCTCGTACGCAATATCAAATGAACTCAATTCAATGGCCCACTTGGTCACTCTCCCCGACAGGTCTGGTTTGTGCAGGATCATTCTCAAAGGGAAAGTTGTTAAAACGACAATTGGATGAGATTCAAAATAATGTCTAAGCTTCCTTTTTGCGTTGACCAGCGACAAAATCATTCGTTCGGCCCTAAAGTACCTTCTCTCCGGTTCAGACATCGTCTTGCTAACATAAAACACCGAGAACTGCTTGCCCTCTTTGCAATGGATTAGAACGGCACTGGTTGCTATGCTGGACACCCCTAGATATAGAAAGAGTTTCTCATTCGATTTTGGAGCAGATAGAACCGGAGGATTACGCATGTACTCCTTCAGGCTGGTTAGCGCCTGCCGTTGCTCGTCCCCCCAGGTTTGTCTTCCATGCCCTCGTATTGTATCAAAGAAAGGTTTACAGCAGTCTGAAAGCTTGGAAATAAATCGGCTCAGTGCAGCTATCCGGCCTGTGAGTGCCTGCACCTCTTTAATTATCTTTGGCTTTGCATTCCTGACCAAGGCTTCTGCCTGTGCTGGGCTGACTTCAATTCCTCTATGATTGACCACATGTCCCAGGAATTAACCGGAGCTTACACCGAATGAGCATTTGGCCGGATTAAGCTTCATTCTATACTGGCACAACACATCGAACACATCTTGTAGGTGCGCTAAATGATCGCTCTTCTTCTTACTATTGACCACCATATCATCAATATAAGCCTCGATAGTGCTGCCCATTTGGCCCTTAAAAATCTTGCTGATCAGCCTCTGATAAGTAGCTCCAGTGTTTTTTTAATCCGAATGGCATGACTTTATAGCAATAAGTCCCTCGTTCAGTAACAAATGAAGTTTTCTCTTCATCAATTGGGTCCATAGGAATTTGATTATAACCGGAATAAGCATCCAGGAAAGTTAACCGCTTATATCTTGTGGTGGCATCTACCATTTGATCAATCCTGGGCAATGGGAAACTATCCTTTGGGTAGGCTTTATTTAGGTTAGTGACGTCGATGCACACTCTCCATTTCCCATTCTTCTTCTGCACTATAACAACGTTAGAGAGCCAGGCCAGGTATTGAACTTCTCTGATGAATCCGACTTTAAGCAGCCGATCAACCTCCTCAGCTATAATCTGATTTTGTTCTGGAGCAAATCTTCTTTGCTTCTGCTTCACTGGCTTTGTATTCGAATCCACATTGAGGGAATGGCAGGATACAGTAAGATTTATCCCTGGCATATCTTAATGGCTCCATGCGAATACATCCGCATTCCGAATCAAGAAATTAGTCAACTCTAGTCTCTCTTCTTCAATGAGTCCGGTTCCCACCCCTGTTATTCGGTCTGGTTTCTCATCATCAATCTTCACTTCATGAAGGGGTTCTGTGGTCAGAACTGGTAGCTCCTCCCCCCCATCCTTGCTGGGAGGAGGGTTCTGTAATTACTATTTTGGGCTGGCTGAACGGATGGGATTTTTTCCTTTTCCAGCAGATTTCAAAGTTACTGAATAACATTCTTTAGCCGCAACCTGGTCCCCGTGTATATCTATCACCTTGGTCCCATCCGGACCCAAACATTGCATCACTTGATGTAAGGTTAACGAAACACCCTGAATTCTGTGAATCCATCCTCTGCCCATCAAGAGGTTGTATGATGGATGAATTTCCACTACCATAAAACTTTCAATCAAAACCCGCTCAGCGGCTTGTACTGTCAATTCCACTATTCCAATGGGTTCCACTCGCTTCCCATCAAATCCGAGCAACGGATTTCCTGTGGGTTTGAGTTTTTCGAGTTCGATCTCCAGTCGGTCAAATGTCACCCTGGGCATGACATTCGCACTACTTCCTGAATCAATCAGGACTCTCCGAACCAGGCATTCTGCAATCGTCAAACTAACGACTAGTGGATCTTCATGAGGAATCTGAACGCGTAGCAGGTCCATTTTATCAAACTTTATCGATGTGGATGTGTTCTGCAGGTGCAAAGCATGCACACTACCAATTCTTCTTTTCAGTTGGGCCTGGTGTAACCTCATTTTGAGCAACTCCTCTGACTCTATCGTTTGTTCAGGCCAGCCATGAATTGCATTTATAATCTGGACGGGCTGAGAGTTGTGTTGATTTGGCCTCTGGTTCCGCTTGATTTGTTCAGTCGGGCGGTTATGCTCTTGCGTCGGACCTTGAACATAGCTTGCAAATTCCCCTTTTGCGATTAGCATCTCTACCTGCCTCCTTAGGTTCCTGCATTCGTTAGTTTGATGCCCAAAATCACTATAGAAAGCACAATGTTTAGTCTGATCCCTCTGTTCAAGAGGTTGCCTGATTGGCAAAGGAGGACGAAACTTATCTTTGTTCTCCTTGTATAGCCTTGCTAAGGTGACTCTAAGTGGAGTGACTGATTCCTCCTCCCTAGGCCTCTTCTCCGCCTTCCATGAGGGGTGACGTTGCGGTTAAGCTTATTTTTGCCGGATCTTAGCTTTGGACTTCTCCTCCGTCGAAATAATTGATGTCTTCCTTGAATTAGCTGCTTCTTCCTCCTCAAGGCGAACAAAACCGTCAGCTCTCTCGTTCAGCTCGTCCATTGTCCTTGGCGTATTAACCACCAAGTTGGTGTGGAACGGCATCCCCCGGTTCATTACGAGTTTAAATGCTTGGACTGTTGTTGACTGGTGACACTCCATTACCATGCTTTTAACGAGGTTGAACCGGGTGAGAAAAGCTTGGAGCCGCTCATCCTCATGCTACTTCATTGTGAAAAGCCTCGATACATCCTTAGCCGGACGCTTATTCCCGTAATATTGGCTTATGAACTTATCGCATAAGTCCTGGAAACTGGCGATTGAGCCTTGAGCCAGATTCTTGAACCAATTGAGAGCTGGTCCAGCCAAGCTCGTAGGGAAACACTTGCACATCAAAGGATCATTATTAGTATTCAAAGCCATTTTCAACTGAATATGGTATATGTGATCGACCGGATCGGTTGTTCCGTCAAAGAGAATGAAGATCGGCATGGAAAACTTCTTCGGATTTGGCGCGTTCATAATTTCATCAGTGAACGGCGATGCGACCGTCCTTGCTGAGGAACGCAATGCTTCGTTTTCTCTTGAAAACCGTGACGAAAATCCTCGATCGGCAGATCTCCTTTCTGAGCTATGGTAATCAACTGTCACTAATGAAGGTCGATATGGCGGATCGAACGACCTATCCTCCACAAATTCACTCCGCCATGGTGACACAATCCTATGTTCATACGCCGGTGCTTCCTCCCTCATAATCCGTTTGTGATGCGGTTCCAGACGAACAGATCCTTCCCGATCCTCTACTCGGCCGACATTCGGAGGCAGATTTCTGATTATACCTTCATCACGACGTGGACCACCACGATTGACGTCTTCTGGATCACTTTGATGATCAGCTTCGGACGGTAAAGCTCCCTCTCCTTCAGGAGGCGGCCTCAAAATTGCAGGAGCCTCTCGATGCTCCATTCCAGCTTGTAGCTCTGCATTTTCTTTCCTCAAAGCATCGATCATGTTCATTAGCTCATCGAGCTTTGTCTGCTGGCCGTTCTCCAAAGAATTCTGGTTTGCCTCTCCGATCATCATTCCAGATCGGAGCAAAGTCATTAACTGCAGGCTTCTTGATCAAATCAGAGTTCTGCTAACGCGCGCACACCAGATCTGAACTTACGCTTGCCGAATTCAGTCCACTATTGGCTGGATTCAGTAACCACAATAGATCACAACCGCGCAGTTCGCCGGATCAAGCACGGATCTGATCTGCTTGGATCGGACGCCAATTTTCCGAAATCAACCGGATCTGGACTTGTCAAGACAAATCGTATTATTACCAATGTTGATTCAGCTTTCGTAGATTAGTCGTCTTCCTCGCAGAATGCGTTGAATCGAACCGATCTGGAATGATATCAATCAATCCTTCCTGTTCTTCCCACAGACGACGCCAATTGAAAGTACAAAGAATTTTTCCCTAACCGTAGAGAGAGAAACTTTACACTCCCAATGATTTTTCCAAAACCTTTTCCCTCTCAATCCCTTCTATTTATAGACGGTTATAACCTCCACTGAGCTGGTTCTATCTTGTTCTCCTTTGGCTGGACTCGACTTCTCTTATTTTAACATGGGCTTCTGAAATGACTTTATGGACCTGGGCCCATACGGCGCGAACTTGCTTCATCCCGTTCGTCCACATCCGACCCGTCCTACGCAATGTGGATCACACCAAACCAGGGTCATTTTGGGGTCCTCAAACTAAAATGCAAAACATAGAACAAAATAGTGTTGGGCCCTTGGCCACACCTCATACATGATCAGAGAAACCCTATGAAAGAAACGGAATAAAATTCCCATACCCGATGCAAAAGTTATAAAGCAATGACTTCGCATTTCTCAATATTTTCATAATAAACCTTGAAAACAAAAGTGCATGGTATACAAGATACATGTCATTGGCCTCCAGCCTCATCTTATACATATCAAATACATTACAACGAGTGTACTTATGTACACTTTACATATACAAATCAAAGAATACAAATTTAGACGAATAAGGCTACAAAATCGCATTTCATGCCAACTTTTACAAGAATTGAAAACCTTCAAGGCTACAAATCATCCAAGCAATATGAGAATCTCGAACCTTGATTCCTATACCTGAAAAATGTCCCCACTATGTGGTGAGTAACATAAAGCTACTCGTAGGAGATGAGTATGCATCGACCTAGCATTTTACAATTTTATCACCTTAAGGTGAAATATGTTAAAGGGGCTCATGCCAGCTAACGTCTATGTCAAAATGAGACTCAGGGATCATCTTAAGCTACTCATACAATTGAAATGAACAATGACATACAAGTATACATGCTCAAGTACACTAAACAGTATTAAAACATGATACACGACATACAAGCATACATGCTCAAGTACCCTAAATCATGTTAAACAAGTTATGCATTATCTAAGCATGCATATACGAACGTACAATTAACATGGAAAACTCATAAATCAAGTATACAGGCACAAGTATATTAAGCTAAATGAATTATGCATAAGACAAGCATACACGACGTAAGTATACATAATGAAGTCCGATGGCACAAATCAAACATACAATACATAAGTATACTAACTAAGGTTTAGATACACAACCAAAGATACAAGTCCAAGTATGGTACATGAGATCTAAATACACAAGACATGTATACAGTTTCAAGTATACTAAATAAGATCTAAATATCCAAAGTAAGCCTCAATTCTCAAGCTACAAGTAATCCATGATTAACAACTTGAATTTAAATATGAAGTCAAATAATGGGAAGACTAGGATCCTTAGCCGCAGACCAATTAAGTTATTCCGGGTTACTAGCCCGCAAGGTACTACCTAGTGCGCACGTGTATAAGTTATTTAAGGTAATTACGACCCACAAGGTACTACCTACTGCGCACTTCATATGACTTAGGAAACTCACGAATCCGTACTAGGGCCAGACCCTAGCCATTATATGAACATGATCTTTACAAGCCTCCAAAAATAATAAGTTCAAAACTTATACAAAATCAATAAGTTAAACCAAATTTATACATTTCAAATAATGTCTAGGAATCAATTTATGTGCACAAGTAAGGTTGAATCTACACAAAACATGTCCTAGAATTCAAGTCCAGATAGCATATGACGTGTCAAGTTTCCATTATGCAATTTATACACAAAACAAGAATATTTTACAACAAGTGAACCACATTACCATCCTAAGCCACAAGTACTAAATAAGCTACAATTTAGTAATAAGCTCCCAAGGTAATCAATTGTAATATTCTAAGAAGCTATACACCTACACAAGGTATATTTAAACGAGCTATTTAAGACAATGATATCACCTATCATGCTAAGTTAAATTACCATCTTTAGGGGCTACAAGTACTAATTCTACAACAAGTTAGTAGCATACTCACAAGGTAATTAAACGGACTACATTTCAATGAATTATCGTCATATTACATCCAATATCAATTTAAGTGACTAACACACTTAAAACAAAATTAATTAAGCTAATTAATTAATTTTTCTCTAGATTTTCAAACATATCCAAATATCCTTAATTTAATATATGTTAAAGAACTCACCAAGACCTACTTAAATATCACATTACAAGTTGATTTCATGCTTGATACAACTATGTGAATTAATCTTTCACTAAAGATAAATATTAAATAAATTTTGCAATTCTTAATCAAATGCCCCAAATTTAATATATGTTACATAACTTACCAAGGCCTAATTTACTAGCATGCCACAATTTAATTCTAAGCTATATACCATCATTAGAATTAAATCCTAAACAAAGAAAATAAATAAATTAAATTCTAAAAACTTGAACAAGACATGCTCACAAGTTGTATATACTTATAAAACAATCAATACAATAGTAATATAAACCTAAGACATCCCCTACCTCAATTTGAGATGAAAATCTCAAAAGTCCACTGAAATGAAGCCGCTCCGAATCCGACGAAACTCCTAGGTTTTGTCGGGGACAACATGATCTACATGAACCCACAAGAAGCCCCATCAAAATAACAACTTGAATTCAAACCTGAACTCAAGAAACGGTCAGAAATGAATTCTAGTAAGGGGGAAAGGTAGAGCACGTCGAGGGGAACAATAAACGTTAAGGCCGAAGACTTTTCACTAAGGAAATCAAGTGGAGGAGAAGAAGAAAAGGTGGCTGCCCCATGGGCATACATGGCTGCCAGCCAAGAGAGGAAGAAGAAGAACAAAATCTGATTTTTCTTCTTTAAGTCCCCTATTTATAGAAAATATCAAAAAGTGCCCCGAAAGGGTCCCGCCGAGTTCGGAAAAGTGGATTTTGAACAAACGCGCTCAAATGGAAAAACTCTATGAATGAAAAAGGTTCAAAATGAGAAAATATAAATATCAGAAGAAACAGCATCAAAAACTGAGTCCCGAGCAGAGAGATATGCCCCGAACAAGTTTGGCGGCAACTAGAGCCAAAAACCCTGAAATTGGGAAAAAATGACCAGAAGAAAATTCTATGAGTACACGACTCAAAAAAATGTGAAAATGAATCCTGTATGAAGATCCAGGCTCCAGAGAAGATATTTTTGCAATAACTTTCGTTAATTGCACAGTAGCCCTACAAAAAGGGTTAACTGCAAAACTGCCCCTGAATGAAAATATCTTCTAAAAGATATTTTCTTAGATACCTCTAAAAGAAATATCTTCAAAAGATATTTATGAAAAACACCCCAAGAAAAGAAAATAATTCCAAAGAATTATGCATCCATGCCCCTATGGACACCGGGAGCAGCTAGAGTACTTTTCTGCAAATGTAAAGATACGTATTTCGTGGAAACCACTTAGAATGAAGATATGTAAAGTCAAAAACCAACTCCAAACACAAGGAGTGAGGTTATGCCAACAAAGTTTCAAAAGGAGAAAAGACAAAATAGGGAAGAGGACAAAACAGGGAAGAGGACGAAAAATGAATAGTGTCAAAAAACAAAAAATGTGGAAATAACTCAGTCCTCAAAGGAAGTTGTCAATCCAA